ATGACTTTCGCATCACTTTTTGGAAAACTTCAAGAACACGAGTTGGAACTTCGACGCCTTGATAAGCATGAACATCAACAGAAAAGTATAAAGCAATCGCATTAAAGGTAGACTCGAAAGAAGGACCAGATGATGATGTATCGGAGGAAGATGGAAATTTTATGCTTTTAGTCAAGAGACTTAGAAAATTCTTCAATAAAAATGACAAACCCTTCGGATATGCAAAAAGGAAGAAACACTTCAAGAAAACGGAGGCTTCCACATCAAATCAAGATGTCACATGCTAAGAATGTGGAAAGTAAGGTCACATTAAACCGGATTGTCCAAAAATTTCGAATAAAAATGGATTCAAAGGCAAGAAGGAGACAAAGAATAAGAAGGCTTATGTTGCGTGGGAAGGCAACGACATAAGTTCATCATCCAAATCAGATAACGATGAAAGCGTAAACTTGGCATTGATGGCTTCTCATCACTCCGACAACGAAAATGATGAGGTTAGTACTTCTTTTTCACTTTATAATAATGATGCTCAAGAGGCTACAAATGAACTCTTAAATAAATGAAAAGTTTTGTGTAAAACCATATCTTCACAAAAGAAACAAATATCATCTCTAGAAGAAAAAGTGAATGCTAAGGAAAAAGATGAAAAGCAAAAGGTTATTAGTGAAGAAAAAAAAACTTTGTATGCAAAAATCATGGATCACTTTCTTTCCAAATTGTTTAACTTAAAAAAGTTTTAGAAAGATATGAGAAGTGACAAATTGGTTTAGAAGGGGTCCTTAGTCAACAAAGGTTTTCTAACGATAAAAGTGGAATTGGTTACTCTAAGTTTTCTAAACCAATTTCTAACAAAACAATCTTTGTTAAGACTAGTGGCCAAACTTCTAAAGAGAAAGTGAGTAAGCCAAAAGTTGTGCATTGTCATCATAAAAGAAAAAAGATTGTGAAAAAGAAATCTTTTTTTCCTAGATATAGGAGTAATTTTGTACCTACTTGTTTTTATTGTGGTATTATTGGCCATACACCTAATGCATGCTATGTTAGAAACTTTAGTATAGCAAGCGGACATTATGTGTGGGTTAAGAAAGGAACTAATTATGAAGTATCCAGAGCAACTTGGGTACCTAACAAGAAATAACTTGTTTTGTAGGTTTGCTTGAAGGCCACTTCAAATCTTTAGTATCTTGATAGTGGTTGTTCAAAACATATGACCGGTGACCTCAACAAATTTTCAAATCTAAAGGTTAAGGCAAAGGGTTATGTTTCCTATGGTGAAAATAACAAAGGAAAGATTCTTGGAATAGGCAAATTTGAAGCACCACCTTTCACATCTATTGAAGACGTACTTTGTGTCGAAGGACTAAAGCACAACTTACTTAGAATAAGCCAACTATGTGACAAAAGATTCAAAATCAAGTTCACAAAAGATGAATGCTTGATAGAAGACGAAGTCACTAATGAGGTAAAGCTAAAAGGTAAAAGGATCAATAATATATTCATGATTTCTCTTGACAATTTGTCTTTGAAGGTTAAATGTCTCATGACAAACAATAATGATTCCTGGTTATGGCATAAGAGATTTGCTTATATACACATAGAACATTTGAACAAGTTGGTTAAAGATGATCTAGTTTTTAGTTTTCCTAAAGTAAAATTCATCAAGGATAAGTTGTGTGATGCATGTCAAAAAGGGAAACAGACCAAATCAACTTTCAAGTAAAAAAATATGGTGTCCACTACAAGGCCACTACAATTGTTACATATGGACTTATTTGGTCCATCAAGAATAAAGAGCTTCGGAGGTAATGTTTATGCTTTGGTTATAATTGATGATTTTTCTAGATTTTGTTGGACTTACTTTTTAGTGCAGAAAAGTGATACCTTTAAGGCATTCAAAAGTTTTGCAAAAGAAATACAAAATGAGAAGTCTTTAACCATTTCCTCCATAAGAAGTGATCGCGGTGGAGAACTCCAAAATGCTCCTTTCAAAGAATTTTGCGAAGAATATGGAATCTCTCACAACTTCTCAGCACAAATAATTTCTCAACAAAATGGTGATGTAGAAAGAAAGAACATGTCATTGGTGGAACTTGCAAGGACAATACTTAGCGATTCAAATCTTCCAAAAAAATTTTGTGCAGATGCGGTTAGTACGGCATGCTTTGTAAATAAAAGATTAAATATTAGACATATTCTTAAGAAGACTCCCTATGAAATTTTCAAAGAGAGAAAACCAAACATTGCCTACTTTCACATCTTTGGATGCAAGTGCTTTGTCTTGAGCAAAGACAAAGACAATCTCGGTAAGTTTGACGAGAAAAATGATGAAGGTATATTTCTCAGCTACTCTCTCTCTCTAGTAAGGGTTATAGAATTTATAATAAAAGAACTTTAACTATTGAAGAATCAATGCATGTTAGATTTGATGAATCTAACCCCTCCAAAGAGGAAATTATTTTATGTGATGATGATGGTGATTTTGTAGATGTTTCTAAAGAAGTTACTTCTCACTCAAATGATCAACCTAAGAATCAAGAAGAACCAATTAAACAAAATTCCGAAGATGATGATCTACCTATGGAATGGAGAACACAAAGAGATCACCCAATTGATAAAGTAATTGGTGATATTAGTTAAGGTGTTACAACTAGACTCAACCTCAAGGATGCATGCTTGAATATAGCGTTCGTATCTCAAATTGAACCTTCCAAAGTTGATGAAGTCTTAGGAGACGACCAATGGATCATTTACAGGCAAGAAGAGTTAAACCAGTTCGAAAGGAATCAAGTGTGGGAACTTATTCTTATGCCAAGTGATAAACACATCATAGGTACCAGATGGGTGTTTAAAAACAAACATGATGAGAATGGGATAATTATTCGAAACAAGGCAAGATTGGTGGCCCAAGGATATAATCAAGAAGAAGGAATTGATTTTGAAGAAACTTTCGCTCCGATTGCAAGGTTAAAAGATATTCGTTTACTACTTGCTTATGTGTGTTCATTAAATTTTCAGTTGTACCAGATGGATGTCAATAGCGCTTTCCTGAATGGCTACATTAATGAAGAAGTTTATGTCAAGAAACTCCCTGGCTTTGAAGACTTCAAGAATCCATCACATATCTTTAAATTGAGAAAAGCTCTTTATGGCTTAAAGCAGGCACCAAGAGCATGGTATGATTGACTCAACAACTTTCTATGCAAAAAGGGATTTGAAAAAGGTAAAGTGGATAAGACATTGTTCATCAAGCGAATTAAGTACAACACTTTACTAGTTCAAGTCTATGTTGACGATATCATATTTGGATTAACCAACAAAGACCTTTGTGAGGAATTCTCGTTGATGATTCAAGGAGAGTTCGAGATGTCTATGATAGGAAAGATGAATTACTTCCTTAGATTACAAATAAAGCAGTTGAAGGATGACATCTTCATCAACCAAGCCAAGTATTGCAAAGAGTTGTTGAAGAAATTCAACATGGATGGTTGTAAAGAAATGTCTACTCCAATGGGATCCAGAACTTATGTTATAAAGAAGAATCGGGTATTTCAGTTGATATCACTAAGTATTGAGGTATGATTGGTTCTCTATTACAATTGGCGGCAAGCCGTCCTGACATAATGTTAAGTGTGTGTTTATGTGCTCGGTTTCAAGCGAATCCAAAGGAATCACATCTTACTACTGTAAAGAGGATCATGAAGTATCTCAAAGGAAAAACCAATTTTGGACTATGGGGAAAAAGGTAGTATTTATACTTAGTAGGTTATTCTGACTCAGATTATGCAGTTTGTAAAATAGATCACAAAAGCACGAGTGGAATATGTCACATTCTAGGAAATGCATTGGTTTCTTGGTCCTGTAAGAAGCAAGCATGTGTTGCTCTTAGCACGGCTGAAGCAGAATACATTGCGGCAGGAAGTTGTTGTGCATAGATCCTTTGGCTCAAACAACAACTACAAGCATGATATATTACAAAGAACCCTATCATACACTCAAGGACAAAACACATTGATATTCAACACCATTTCCTATGAGATCATGTTCTCCAAAAAGACATTGAAGTTACATTCATGGATACACATAACCAATTGGCAGACATCTTCACAAAACCACTTCTAAAAGAAGGTTTCTACAAGATTCAGAGGGAACTTGGAATTCTAGATGAATGTGGTGTGTAAAATCTCCAATAATAATTTATTATTTTTCTAAAAATAATACCAAGGTATGAACATCTATATAGTGTATTATTTTCTATATGGAATATGAAATTGCTATTTTTTGACTTATGGTAACACTACTACTAAAAAGTTATTTAATAGCGCTTTTTTTACTTTTTGATAGCACTTAAAAGCGCTATTAATCAAGCCGCTATTGTAAAAAAAAAGTTTTGATAGTGCTTTAAAAGCGCTATTATAGTACTGCTAATTAATAGCGTTTTTCCAAAAGCGCTATTATTGTACCGATATTTAATAGCATTTTTTCAAAAGCGTTATTATAAGACACATATTAGATAGCACTTTCAAACAAAGCGCTATTATAGTACTGGTAATTTGCTTTGATTTTGATAGCACTTTCAAACAAAGCGCTATTATAAGACACATATTAGATAGCACTTTTCCATAAAAGTGCTATTATAGTACGTATCATTAATAGCACTCTCTCTTCAAAACGCTATTGTAGTACACTTTTTTTTTACACAAAATCATTCTTTTGGTATATATATATATATATATATATATATATATATATATATATATATATATATATATATATATATATATATATATATATATATATATATATATATATAGCATTTGCATTTTACGACATTAGAATTCATAAAATAATAATGACTAAGCAGCTAAAATATTTGAAAATAAAATAATAATGACAAATGTGATACCATATATATCTATACCACTGTCATAATAAACACAGAAGGAATTGTATTTATGTATTTATGTATTAATTTGGCTAAGAGTACTTCAAACCAAAATATTTTATAAACACAAGCTAAATCGGAAACTTGAGGACGTTGGACTGTAATTTGGCAATGATGAAGGTCTTCCTCCTGCTTGCGATGTATTAGTTCCAGAACGAGGAGATGGACTTAAACGATTTGGACTTGCACTGCCCCTACTGCTTCTGCGACTTTTCTCCATCTGAAACACAAAAGGCATCCAACGTATGATGAATGAGGACTATTTGCTCAATCACATTATTTGAGATGGAAAGAATTAAAGGAACTTTTCCAACTAATAATGCAGGAAGAATATAATAATAATAAGGATTTCAAAATCTCACAGTAGAAGATCTTGATATGGAAATGGGTTTACTCTGCCTTCCTCTGCTTGCAACATTAGTAAATGGTGGATCTTCATCCATTGAAGGAAACAGTGGCGTATCCGATGGTTTCAATAACCTTAAAATGAAGGATACAGACATGGAATCAGTGAGTGATATAAGCAGTTGTGACCAGAAATCAACAGATGCACAGCTTAGGGATCAAGAAATCGGCATTATAGTATGACCACGTCCATGCATTCTTAATGTAGAAACAAAGACAGTTGCAAACAGTCTGATAAATGTCTCAACCTTGTAGCTGTAAAATAATACCCGCAAGATAAAAAGTAAGAAATATATTAATAAATATTACCCCAATAAATCAACCAAAGAAAGACACAACATTTTCATATGAAGTCGGCAAAGAAAATTACCGAATGAATCTTCCAAGTCATCTGAAGACTGAAGCAAAAAATTGTCTCTTTCTCTAGTCTGTATTTCATTGAACAAAGCAAGATCGTCATCGTTCCCCGGAGAAGTATTCCACTTTCAAGACTGTGCCTCCGCTTATGACCATCTCCTCTCGCCTCTTTCCCCGGAGAGTATCTCATTGTAGGGGAAGGCGGCATCTCCACTTCCCAAACCAGTATCAGGCAAGTATTACCGCGACGCCTCCAAATAAACCAAAATATAAAACCTAACCAGTAGCACCCATAAGTTTATCTCAATTCCCAAGCCTACAACAAATTCAAACACCAAGACTAATCTGCTGCTAAAGTGTTCTTCCATGCCTAACACAGAAAAGTTGCAGCAAGAGAAATGCCTCATATATTGGCAACCAGTTGATCCAAGGTATCATCTTCAGCAGACCTCTTGACGCGAACAACAACCTTTTCAACCTACAAACAACATCATAGATCGATTCACACCTTCCCAAAAACATTTAATCAGAACATGAAATAGAAAAATCTTGTTCTGGCCAAAGGTTTTGATTACCTCTGCAGTCCAATTTGTTCTTGCAGTCAGAATGATCAGTGTAACAGTCTGTATAAGAACTCCAAGGATCATTCCCCACCAGATGCCCTACAGAATCCAAAACTGCATTAACTCCATAATTTTGTATTACAAATTTCAGAACTATATAACCAATGACAGAAATGTTTCAAACTTACAGCTACTCTTAAAGAAGTTTTAAATCCAAGAACACATCCAACAGTAAGACCAATAACATAGTAACAAGCCAAGTTTACATAAGCCACTAAAGCTTGCCATCCACTTCCAATTGCAACCCCTGAAAATTTCCAAGAAACAACAAACAAAAGGAGAAATCAGATTCACAGCTACGGAAAAACCGAAACTGGTGCTTGTGCTTGTAACTGAGTGCACTTTGGATTCACATGTATTCTAAAATATATTCTAAAGTAATAATCTAGTTCATTCGTCGAGCACTGCATTGGTTATATATGATAATAATAAGGATGTAAAGGTTACCCTGTGCACTTTGGATCCTTGTATACGAGTTGTGAGTGGATGATAGATTTCTGATTACCCATACCTGATAACCGGTTACTACTGTTATGTTTTTCACTTCTGCTCACTGTTTTTGGTATGGTAACCGATTATCCATACCTGGTAACCGGTTACTACTGATCATTTTTAAAAAAAAATCATTAAAAACAGAATTGTAAAAGCTTTTAAAACCCATTTCATATTTCTCATAAGCATTTACTCATACTTTAAGACATTTTGACTCCTTCATATTCATTTTATTCACTCTTCCATCTTCTCCTCTTCTCCATTAAAGAGTTGGTCAACAAACTTCAATATCCGCTATCACATATCTCTCCTTATATACCTCAACAAAGCTCCTACATAATCATAATTAATTCCCACTATACACCCTCATTAATCACCACTTGGTCTTGATTTTGCCTCCAAATTCACATTCGAAGTCTAATTTTGGCTCCAAACCAAGCTCTAAGCCACCAAAATTTCCAAGCTTAAATTCTATAAATAAAGGCTTCATTTCATTCATTCTACAAGCTTTTGATAGTCAAATTCACCTTGTCAAAATTCTTCCTCATTCTCATATTTCTTCATCTACCCAAATTCACCAAAGCTCTTTCTTCCATTAAAAGTTAGTAAGCTTTTCACCGAAGGTTACTAATCTTTGAGATAAACCTTCATCCAAACAATTATTCAACATCAAATTCTATAGATCAAAGCTTTGGAGTATGGTTCTTGAAGTTGATTTGAAGCATTTTCAGATTTGGAAGTGGTAAAATTTTGTTCCACCATTGTTGTGTTTGATTCATCTTCTACAATATAATCTCTTGTTGATTCTTGTTGTTTGATCTTTGGATCTTTAAAATTGTGTTTCATTGGTGTTATTTGTTATTGTTTTACTTGAATTTTCGTGCTCAATTGCATTCATGATCATGAGGTGTTTGAAGAAATGATTGAATCATGAATGCTATTTTTTTTCAAACTTTTTGTTGTCCTGCCAGTGTTAATCGATTAACCAAATGCATGTACAAATTGGTTAATCGACTAACCAGAGTCAGAATTGTGTTTTTTGGATTATTTTGGGACTGTTTTAAGTTATTTTCTTTCATCTTCTATTTCCTTTGGTTTTACCTTGAATTATAGTGTTTGTTGATCCAATTTCTCTTTAAATTCCATCGACTTTGGATGTTTGATGAGGTTGGATAAACTTTCATTAGTTCAAATCTATCTTTAAGTGGATCATTAGACTCATTTTAGGTGTTTTGAATTAGTGATAGATTTAGTACCTTAATCCACCAAGAAGAGTGATGGAACTTAAGGATGGAATGATTCGAATATTGTAATTGAATTTGGCTTTCCTTTTCCCTCTTCTTCTTTTTTCTTTTGGTCAAAGAAAATATTACATATCATTAGACTTCTATATAAAGTTATAATCAAGATGAGACCACTACCTCTTTTCTTTTAGTGTGGCAAGTTTTAGGATAATGACCTACAAGTCATTTCTCTAACTTGTATTAACACAAACATTGTTATTGACCAACCTCAGATAGTCGTGGCTTCTATATAAGTCCGATTACGATTGCTTAACATAGCGCTAAATTGTCTTGAAATTGGAAATCGATTCGTTTTTGTAAGTGAGTTGTCAATCTCCTAATCTCCATAGTGTGGTGTGAAATAGATTGTCTCCTTGTTGTTAATGGAGTTAGTTATCATACTCGTCGATTTTATTCGAGTTGTAACCCTTACCTTAATGATGTATGGATTCATTTTTTCATGCTTATGGTTGAATAGTCGAGTATTCTCCAAAAAACCACCAAATGTTCTTCACCACTAACACTAACTTACTAACTATATAGTTGCACTAGCTTTGCTTTATTATTTTTTTACTCTTTATTTTCTTGTCATTTACTTTATGCCTTTACTTTTAGAATTTTTATTTCATATTATCATCTTATTTTCTCTTTCTCCACTTGGACACATGTTTATGTTTATGCTTTTTTATTTTGTCCACTTAGACTATACCTCTCTCAAGACCTTAATAAATTTTAAAACACTTAAAAGACTTGGTTCTCTTAATTCCTGATTGTTATGACCTTACGCTTGTACTTTGTGACTCAGACTTTGGAATTAGATCTAGGATCCTTGCCCTTTGCTATTGGAGATTTGGGACCTTGGACATTTTGGTGTTATTCTTGTCTGTTTTGTCTGGGAAATTTTCTGTGTGCAAGTGTTAATACTTTTACTTTGAAAATTCTCTAATACACGACTCTCCTAGTTGGATTTTAAACCTTGGAAGGACCTTTCTTCAACTTGGCTATGGCTTAATTTGGAATTTCCTCGGGTGCTTTATTCATCTGTTTATTATGCTTGTGGTTTGAATCTAAAAGGAAAAGGAATGTTCATATTGACTTTTTGTCAAGTGTTTGCTCCTTGAGTGGTTAGATGTCCCCTCCTTTACCTTTTATTTTAAGTTTTAGGGTAGTTACTTCTTCTCCACCCCTTCTTCAATTTTCAAAATCTTCTTCTTTTTTCAAAATCTTCTTGTTTTTTTCAAAATTAAACCTCTTTCACAATAAACATTGACTTTGGTCAAGTGATTTTCAAACTTTGTTTTCTTTAATAAATGTTAATCATACTTTGACTAATTTCAAAAAGACATAAAAAATACAAAAACTCATTCAAACTTTTTGTGCCTTTGTGCACTTTTTTATTTAAAACTTTTCAAAAAGTTTAGACATGAGTCATTTTCATAGTTGAGATATAAATCTCTTATTCCCTATAGTATTTAAGATGTTGACATTTTTCACTTAGATGTTGAGTGATAGACTGGTTAATTTTTATCCAAGCAAAAATATTTCATCTTAAGATGATGCAAATGTTATTTTCTTATACTTGTGGGTGACTACTTGTAGTTTTCTCCTTAAAATGACGACTTGTCTTTTCATTTAAAATCAACCATAAAAACCATTTTTTGTTATTTGTGCCACGAACTATGGGATTTTGATTCTATATTACACTTTGTGGGTATGTAGGCATAAGGCTCAAGAAGTATCTCCAAACACAAAAATCTTAAAAAGTACTTCTCTTCTCATCTCCCCATTCTCATTTCTAACAAACCTTTTCAAATTGTTCTGGACTGGGCCCAGGCCTGCCCATCCGTCGAGCAGGCTCAACCCAACGCTATTTAGGGAAGGCCTAGATAGGCCCAAATCACTCAGTGTCGGGCACGACTGATCGCGTCGGGCAGACACTTCCTCTGTCGGGCAGAACAACGTGTCCTCCACACGTTCTCCACGTGCCCCCCTCCGTGGGGACACGTCATTAGCCAACTACCCACTTCCGAACGAGCTGGTCAACCCACCTTCCGGAGATTACGGGACGGTTGAACTAGGGTGAAAACCACGTGCTAGTGTTCATTACGCCACGTAAGCCCTAGCAGTCACCTGGGTTGGGCCTGACAATCCAGCTCAACACAAGTGACCATTGGCCCTGCGCTGGGGTCTCTATATAAATACCCACTTTCACAAGAGGGTTAGGTATTCACTTTTTAACCTCTCTTATGTATTTGCTCCCACTCTGGTCCATCACTTGCTTTAGCATCAGAATGTCTTGCAGGTATACCCCATCCTCCTCCTTACTTTCGGTGAACAGTTGGCAGATCAACGACGCGTGGCGGGTCACTGATTCCTTTCTGGTCAGGTAAGATCAGTGACGTCGTTTATGGGAAACTAATATTCCCCGTTCCTCAGAGAAGAGAACCAAAGCTTCCTCCTTTCAAACTCCAAGATCATGACTAGCCCACGGTATGATGACGCTGTTCACGATTCCGCCATCGCCCAGGTCACCAATGGCGACAACCAGCCGGGGAAATCTCAACCCCATGAGACCGACATCAGAGACGACCAAACTTCCTCCTCGTCATCCGAGGACGTAGAACATCACGTCGTCCTTCGGGCGAGGAGCCCAGCGGTATTTCAGCCTGTTCCCACGCCGGCCAGAGCGGACCCGACGATGATTGCTCTCTTTGCAGCCATCAACCAGACCAACATGATGTTGTTCCAACAGAACGAGTGCATTGGAGCGCTGGAACAGGATACCTCATCCCTCTCTCCTCCACAGAGAA